CTGTACGCACCGTACGGCGTCTCTGGTGATGCGAGTTATCTATAAGAGTAAACGTGGTGCGAAAACGTTCCATGGTTAATCGAATTAACTGCTCTGATGGACGATTTTGTCGACGATAAAATGGGCGTTGTGCGCGATACGTATTCCGCACAGAACCATGATTTTCGAAATAAAATTGCACTATTTGCAAGCGTTGTTCAGGTGTGAGTCTATTCATGATGAATTGCCAAACCAAACTGAGAATAAATCACTTGACAGCTGTTAAATCGGTCGCCATCTTGAACAGTAATGCCAACTTAAAGTTCTATACATCGAAAAAAAAAACACCCATTATAATTGTAGATGCGAGGGTCGGTCAATAAGTCCTTAAAAGAGGCAACCATCTTAGATGCCAAGTAGACATAAGTTTTAAAACTTGTGTCTTTAAACTTTTACATTTCATTAAATTAGTTATAACCATTTTATGGCAGTACTTTCTTGTTCTTTGCTGTACTAACATCTTTGTGCACCACGCAATCGAACTTGGCACAGGTTTTTATTGCAATGAATACGCGAAAACCATTTATCCGCGAAAGGACTATACAGTGTGTGCGGAAATTGTGTTCGGAAACTTAAAAAATAATGGTAGTAATTCATGTAACAAAAATTCGAAATCGTAATATTTTCCGAGTTATAGCTTTTTTAAAATTTTATTTTTAACGCACTGGGCTAAATTATCAACGGAATGATCTGCTATTTTACACACATCCCTGATTTATTAAAATTAATCGTTACAAAATAAAAGTGTTTCGGAAATATATCACCTTATCTAGAGCATTTTTTTATTTTCCCTGTATTTTATTTATCTAGACTGATATTGCAAAGTAGAACCGATTGCCTTAAGCAGAATCTCAAATCCTAAAAAATTGTTGCTACTGTTTTAAGTCCATATCGATATCGATACCGTTTAGTCACAGATCGATTTTTTATTCTCGGCTTGAATTTTACCTCTAAATGTAATTTTACCTAACAGAACTTAATCCGTTAAAAATTAGTTTCAATTATACAGCTTATTTTCCAACTGCTACTGTGATGGCCCATCAAAAGAGAATCATTCAAACCCTATAATGTGAATAAAGGGAGACCAAGTTATGAAGGAACCGCTACAAAACAAGAAAGAATACTGCAAAATGTGGAAGCTGACCTTCAGCCAGTACGAGAACACTTGCTGCTCAGGAAAGAATTGGTTAGTCTGCACTTTGGGAAGTTTTGAATGAAAATGATTTTCGTTCCCTTTCATGTACAAAGGCATCAAGTACTGTATGAGGGTGATGAGCCATTGAGAATAATTTTAAGCAATCGAATTTTAGGAAAAATTTTAAATTAATAAGCTTGTTTTCCAACTGCTACTGTGATGGCCTATCGACATGCACAGACTTGGCAAAAGAGGATCATTCAAACCCGATAATGTGAATAAAGGGAGACCAAGTTATAAAGGAACCACTACAAAAGAAGAAAGAATACTGCAAAATGTGGAAGCTGACCTTCAGCCAGTACGAGAAAACTTGCTGCTCAGGAAAGAATTGGTTTGTCTGCACTTTGGGAAGTTTTGCATGAGAATAAATTTAAGCAATAGAATTTTACGAAAAATTTAAAATTACCGCTGATTCTTAAATTTCAGTTTTTTCACTCCTGATGGAACTGTAAATTATCAAAATATGCATCAGTGAAACATTGAAAAGCCACGCTCAAAAATTGAAGAAAAATATCAACGCCGGTTTTCTTTAAATGTTTGGATAAGGATTATAGGAGACAATCTTCTAGCACCTGATTTAACGGATCACTTAATGGGGAAATGTATTTACAATTTATCCAAAAGGAACTTTGCTGGAAATAAAACATATTCTTAATGCAAGATGGCACTGCACCTCATCTTACATTTTCTATACGAAGGTATTTAAATCAGTCATTTGAACATCGAAGGATAGGTAGGGCGGACCTCTAGCTTGGCCGCCTTGCTCACCAGACCTTAATCCGATGGACTTCTTTTTTGGGAGGCATTTAAATCCTTTAGTGTATGGAACACCTATAACAGATATCAATGATCTACGACAAAAAATAATAAGGAGTACTTTTTCGTGTTCCACAGGATTTTTTAAAACGTATATGAAAACGTTTAGAAATGAACGGCATTTTGAAAATGAATTGTAATGTTTAATAATAATAATAAATTAATAATTTTTTAATTTCGAAAATGTTATATGTTACTTAAATTGAACATATTACTGCGTTGACTAATGCCATTTTTGCAATTTTCTAATTTGTAATTTGTAATTTGTTACAGTAGCCTGTGGAAGTTCCTTTGAAAAAAAAATTGTAACATACTCTTTTGAAAAATTTAGTGCACCTTTCTGTAAATTAGAGTAAAAATTTTTGAAGATTTATGATTCTGTTTAAGGCAATGTGTTCTATTTGTGTGTGTAATGTGTTCTACGTAAAGTGACCTCTAGTGAGAGATTTCGGAAAAATCAGGGAAAATCGGGAAACTAGGTTGCCCATAAAATAGCAGCTTATTCCGCTGAGAATTAACCACACTGAGTTAAAAATAAAATAAAAAGATTTTTGTTAAGCTATAACTCGGAAAATATTACGATTTCGAATTTTTGTTACATGACTTACTACCATTATTTTATCACGTTGAATCTTTCCTCCAAGTTTCCGAACTCAATTTCCGAACACCCTGTATACATCCAGCCTGTAATGATTTTGGCATCGGTTATATTTTCCCATGATCCCAACGAGCTTTACTGGAATAAAAAAATGGATTTAACAATTTATAGCAGATTTATATCTTACAATCTGTTGGCACTTCTCCAGAAGGGTGGATCCTAATAGAAAAGAATTTATTCGAAGGGGCAAAATTTACGAGAAATTTTTGTATAGAGTTTTTTCGCCAACAAACATTACCTCTTCTTACCCAGTATTCCTTTTGAAATTGAAAAAAGGGCAATCTGTTATCTTAAAAAAAGATATAAATAATTCAGGAAAGGTCAGAGGCGACGCGAATATCAACTAAATCCTGGTCTTTGAGGGCATTAAAACATAAATGGTGTTTTTAACGATTTTTATTCCAGTCGGTTTATGCGCTGCCATGAAAGAGGTCGCAGGGTATTTTTAAACTTATTTTCTGGTGTATTGGGGGTAGTGACTTTGTATTTCGGAAAATTCCGGAGATGCTTTTCGCACTTTGGCAATAAATTTATGTACAGGTTGATTCGCGGTAGACGACAGGTTACGGGTTTGGTGAACTAGACTGTGACGATCAGTAAAGAACGATCTGTTGATCTAATTTATCTGTATTTGATTTTTCATTTTCAAATTTTAGGGAGCTGAAATTTTGTATAGACAAATTAACTCTATAATATACAAAAGACGGGTTTTAAAACATTAAGAAAACATTAGCCCAGAATGTATTGAACATATTTTATTATTTATTATGCACACATGTGTTACTATTTCTTAAATATCTATTATTTGGCCCGACTAGCAAACTTAGTTTTGATCCATAATTATTGAAATTGTTTTTTGACCGTCCAAACGTCTTTTCATTCATCGGATGTAAATTCGACATTTTACTTAACTTTCTGCATGTTCTTGCTATTATTGGACTGCATTGTTCGTGAAATTTAAACAAATTCATCGAAATTAAGCAGTTCTCAATTTTGCTCATTTTTGGAGGTTAAATATAAATTAAATATCAAATTTTCTGAATTTTTACGTAAACTAGGTTTTACTTCCTCCTTAACGTTTAGGTATAAAACCGTGTATATATATTATGGACATATATATAAAAACTTAGATTTGTGGCATATTTTTTAATCGTATAATTAAAAAAAACTATTGATGTTTGAACTAAAGTATATTGGACAAAAGTTGTCTATAATTGTTTAGTGGGTCCAGAACATTAAAAATATACATCGTGTTCCATTTGAAATACGAAAGTTGAGGTTATTTTTCGAAAAACCGGTAAAGCAATTCTATTGTTCTCTCAACGTATTTTGTAATGCTGCCGCGGACAGTGGTTTCGTTACCACCCGGTATATAAACAACCAAAACTAACCTTTTGCGAGTTTAAAAGAGAATAGATTTTAAATTTTTGTTAAATTTCTTTTGCAGGTCTAGCAAATTATAATTAATTAATCAAATAAAAGAATTGACAAATCCGTATTTGAAACATTAACATAATGCAGGAAATTTTGAATTTAATGTCAATGTAAACAAAACAATCGAATTTGCAATGGAAAAAGAAACAAAGTGAGAGTTAAAAAAAGTACAAATCTACGCGAATTTTGTTTTTTTCTTTGGTTCACTGTTATCTTCAACTTTGGATATTCGCTCTTAAGGGCAAGATTAAGAGGGTGATTAATTAAAATTTAATCAAAACCGAGATTAGAGTTAACTTTCGACTAACAAGTTATAAAGAACAAAATTTTAATTAATCATCCTCATAATCTTGCGCTTGGGGCTAGTATGTAAACTTCCAGACAACAGTGAATTTAAAGATCCTAATAAGGAATTAAACAAAAATTGAAAATGGCTATGGGGATTTTCTCGCTTTTAATTCTTTTTTTTTCAATTTTTGTTTTATTTTATAGCAAAAGACAGTTTTTTGATTTACAATAATATTGACTAAGTAATAATTAATTAGAAATCTATTAAAACGAAGTTATACTCCATGCACTAGCCAAAACTAATATAATATTTAGAAAAAAACACTAACAACGTAGGGACCAAAATTTGATGTAGTAACTTATTTCAAAACATCTCTTGAAATAAGGTAAGTCTCCGAAACTCAGCTGCCAGATTGAAACACCCGGTATATTTTTTAAAAACGTATTAAATCTTTAATTAAAACTACGCACTGGGGGCACCCCGTTTTCTAAGACATTTTAATTCTATTAGTGGAAAATAGCCGGCGTCCTGTTATTACTTAATTTATTTATACGTTATGTCGAGTTAAGAGTATACGAAATTAGGCAGTACGAGCGACGTCCTCCCCAAGGCAAAATGTTTTTCCCGCGCACGATCCTGCTTTGGTTCGCGTTGTTGACGACGGCCAAATGCGATGACGACGTCGTCTGTGACGTCGACTTGGTGTGGTACGAAGCGGGCAAAATCGAGCCACACGAATACTCGGCCAAATCGAACGTCACGGACGATTTGAGGAACGCGACGAAAATCGAAATCGCTCAAAACGTCTCGACCCTGCGTTACCTGGAACTCTCGTTCGCGTCGGACCTGAAAGTCCTTGTCGTGGACAACGTAGGATTAACCACGATCGAACCTGGTGCCCTCAAATCGATCCCGTGGACAGTGGAAAACTTGACGGTGACGAGGAACAAAATGGCCGCCATCCCCGCCGGTGTTTTCAACGATCTGGGCGTGAAAATTTTGAATCTGTCAGATAACCAGATACAAACCGTGAAGCCTGACGCTTTCAATCGTATGACAAACCTGACGACGTTAGTGTTAGACCGTAACGAACTCGTAACGTACGATTTGGAACTGTCGCAGTGCGATAGGCTGAGCACCATCTCCCTCAGGTATAATTATATAGAGGAGCTTCCGCGAAGCAGCTTCAAGAACCTTAAAGACAACGCGGCCACCGTTAAGCTGAGCTTCAATAAGATCGGGAGCGTTCACGATCTCGCGTTCGATATTAAAGAGTTCTGCGAGGTGCATTTGGATCACAACGAGCTGACCAACGCGAGGCTCTTGATCAAGTTGATCAAGGCGGACAAGGTGGACTTGTCGGAGAACCATATCGAGTGTCTGCCGAAGGAGTTTATGGAAAACGGCCTGAGCAAGATCAAAGTGTTGAATCTGACGAACAACCCTCTCAACTGCTCGTGCCTGAACGATCTGAAGAAGAAGGTGAGGAAGAACGTCGAGTTTCAGAAGATGTCGCCGCTGGTGAAAAACATAAACATTATTTTACCCGATAAGGAGTGTCCCAAAAAGTGAGGGGATGAGCGGATGTAACTTTCTTTGTATTTCTTTGTCTCGGGATCGTAATTTATATCGTTTGGTACGTCTTGGATTGTTGTATGTAAAAGAGGTTTTCCTAGAGAATAAATTTTATTATTTTGAAAGGGGCGTCGTTATCGAATACCAGCATTAAATCAGCATTCAATCTACATAATTTTCGATATAAACTTCTACTTTGAATTGTAACACTTTTCTTCCAGTTAGACAATAGGTTTGCTTTTTCTCTTTTTTGTGTAAAAAACTGAACGAAAAAATGTATGTACTCTTTACCTTTAAAAGGAGAAGTGAAAAAATTGGTGACAAAATGTTAAATCATAAAAAAATCTGAGAGAGCTGAATTTTGGTGGACACACCAGTCGAAATGTCTAAGATAAATTGTAGACCATAAAATTTTCTACAGAACTGGTTTTTACATTTTTTTAGGAATCAACATTCCTCCGATATCGCGTTAAAGAGCAATAAAAGAAAAGGAAAAACAGTTAAAAGGTATTTGTTTGGAGTTTCTAGAACTTAACACTTAGAACACCTGATTTTCGTCTCCAACACAACGCCCTATCATCTAACTGTTGATAAACGCATATGCCATACACGGAAGCATAAAAATAGCAATTAACAATTTGCCAATTGTTCTGTTTCAAACAGAGGTTCCACAATTTGATGTTAAGTTTAAATCAGACCCATATAATATTTATATTCCTACATAGAATAATAGTGTATTCATCCGCTATGTTTTTTTATTATATTCTATATTTTCTCTATTAGTGTGATGTTTAAGATATAAAACGATAATGGAAACAGTGCACGTAAATTGACACGTGAAATCAAAACAGGAATTTCAATTTAGAGCGTAATAATCAACGAAAGACATAAAAAGACTTGGAACACAAAGAAAATGAAGGTAAATGAAATTAATACAATAATTGCTTTTATATTACGATTTTGTAATGAAGCTTCGAAGTACGTTTGGTTGTAAATTAATAAAGCCATTGACATTATAATTTAATAATTATTTTTTCTTATCTACAGGGACTAAAAAGAGTGCACTAGTTCTTTTATACTGTCACGAAGTGAAAAATCGAAATGCTACAAATCAGGTGATCAAGATCACCAGTTCCAAAGTTGTCGTACTTGGTCAAAAAATGGGTTTTCAAAAAGGCAATAGTCAATCGATGTAAAATTAGTGGATAAGGAGTATCCCAAGAAGTGAACGGATTAGATTTCTTGCATTTATTTTTCTCGGGATAGTAACTTATATCGTTTTGTACATCTTGGGTTGTTGTATGTAGAGGAGGTTTTTGTAGAGAATAAATATCATTATTTTGAGCGGGCGTCATTTTCCATTACCAGTATTACCACATTCTCTTGATTAAAGTCTCAATTACATAATTTTCTATACATAACACTTACATAATTTTCGAAATATGCTTTGTAACACTTTCCTTCAGGTTATTTCCTTTTTATCTTTTTTTTATTAAAACCTGAACAAAAAATTTTATTTACTCTTTTCGTCGACATCGATGAGAGACATTAGTTACCAATGGTTGGCAAATGGAAAATTTTGCCAGTGTTTGTTACAATAATTGCTTCTATATGACATTTCTGTTTAAACACGTAATAAAAAAATAGTAATAAATGTTCGATGTGCGCCTGGGTGCCAAGTAGTAATGGCATTGTCAACACAATTCGATTTCATCCAATTTTTCTATTCTGTAGGGGGTCTAACAAGAGCACACTAGTTCTTTTATACAGTCGCGTAGTGTAAAATCAAGGGGCTACAAACCAGGTGACCTGGATGGCCAGTTCTAGAGTTTCAAGTCATAATTGTTGAAAATCAATATTAACAAAGAAATGTGAAATACTAAGAATGCTGTTGAAGTTCAAGATCGATTGATATAAAATTAGATTGTGTCACACTGTACAACAATACACAGAGGAAATGAAGCTTTACACCTATGAAAATGATGAAAGTGGTTTGCAAATCAAGGAATGAATCCCGTGGTTTTATTTACTGTATCAAGAGTTACTAGGTATAAGAAATGCTAAAATATACGAATTTCGCAGTAGTGAACTCCCTGTATACATATTCAGTAATTAAATATAAAGAAATTGAAATCTTAAAATATTAATTGACTTTGAACTTTTCAGTTTTTTCCACTTTTTACCAGTACAATAATATATGCATCATTTAATTTAAGAATTTCTCGAAAAACGCAAACTTTGTTTCTTAATATATATAAATAATTTTTTACTTCTCCCAAACATTTTTCTTGAGGAGCTGTGAATAAAACGGTATCTAATCTTGAAAGTTATTTAACGATTTCTATTGATCAATTTTATCATGATTTTTTATTAATAGAATTTGTACGGCAACTATATTTATTTATATTTAATGTTATATACTCATTTCAAAATTGCCTTAAAGAACCCATTTATAGAAAAGGAGAAAAAATATTCTTGAGAATTAGAAGTTCGGCTAGTTTCCTTTTTTACTAAAATTCATAAAATATCTAATTGCCAGTTTGGTTTTACTGATAAGTCCACTAATGATGCCACAGCATTCGATACTGTAAGCCACTCGCGGCTTTTGACTGAACTATATTCAGCTGTTCACTTACTAATTGAAAGTTACCTGAAAAATCTACAACAAATGGTAGAGATTATTAACTGTTTCAGTAAGCCGAGAACTGTAGCCTATGGAATTCCAAAGGGAGAGTCCTAAGACCCATTTTTTCCTTATATACATAAATGAACTACTTGCTATTGATGTTGCCGGTAAAATCATCTTTTTTGCTGAAGATACAGCTCTGTTTGTTGAAATTGACAATTGGAACGAAGTCGAGAACCGCATTAGTTCGGATTTGCAACTTATGTCCCAGTGGCTCGACAATAATTTGCTAACGATCAACTTAGAAAAAAACACAATACTTGCCCTTTTCCAATTATAATAATCGACTACCTACAAATCATAAACTTATTATAAAACTATCGTTTAGAGATAGTTGTTGGTCTTTACGTAGAGTTGAGCATGTTACCTACCGAGGAATTCATATTAAATCAAATCTAAAGTGGAACTTCCATATCGAATAGTTAGTGAAAAACTGACGATCCTTAATGTATTTACAACTTACTGAAATATCTGATAAGCAATTACTTCTTTCTACTTATTTTTCACTGGTACAATCACTTATATCGTATGGAATAATTGGTTGGGGTTGGGGGACTCTTCAGCCCCTTCACGTAATACCAATAGAATTTTGAAAATTATATTAAAGTTAAATCTGCGATATCTACATGACTTAATTTTTAGACAATTTCAAATACTTCACATAAAAGATAACTTACTGGTTAATTCAAAAACTCACGAGTATGAAACACGCTTTAAACTTGGAGATAATTTAACTTTACAAAATATGCATTTATCTGTTGGACAAGAAATTACTTTTATACCGGTAAAAAAAATTATAACGCACAAAATAAAATCAAAATCATTAAAAAAAATTAACTAAATGTCTTATTGATGCTAAGTTGTAACTTAAGTTTCTAAGTGGCTCTTTATTATGAGTCAAATTCATAGATTCATTAATGTATTCGAACTATATAAAATCTTGTCTTTTTTGGTAGAATATTATGTTTTTTTTCTTATTATTAATTAGATGGGAAACATCGTTAAATTAACCTGCGTTATGTTCAAGGATGGCTGTCAAGTCAACTTAGTATACCTTGTTTGTTGTATTAATATTTATTTAATGTTTACATTTCAATAACTTGTTAAATTGTATATTCTTATTGATTTAAATAAATATGATAATAATAATATTAATAATAATAATAATAATAATAATAATAATAATTATTATTATTATTATTATTATACAAAGTACCCCACAGGTATTGTAGACATAAGTGCCCTTAATGCAGAATGTAACTCCTTCAACTTTCCTACAAACAATTTCTAACTAACTAAAATAACCAAAAGTAACCAACCATTTCTGCAGATAATATACCTACCCTCTGAATATTACTGTTTTGAAGGAAAATGGCGTATATAGAGGCTTACTGCGTGAAGAGCACGGAAAATTATTACCTTCTCTCCGAAAATCCCGTTTAACCAAACAGTGACATCACGTTCCTTTGTAAGGAATACGAAGCAGCGCGGATGGATACTTTTTAATAGATCATCATCGGGTGACTTCCGGAAGTTGCAGTTTCCAAAAGGCAATATGCGGTTGCATAATATTTAGCAAGTTCAAAGTTCATAGGGAGTAATAAGCAATTCGGTGACGCCACACTGGGAACTCGTATAATGGGGCCATGTTCCCATGCAAATATTTTGTAAAATTTATGTAGAACCGGAGCGGTGAAATGTTGCATATTGGATTCGGGGTCATTTTGTGCCCCATGGTCCGTCTATTGCAGTGCTCGCGCTGTTGTCACAGAGTTTACGCTGACAAACGATTTAATATTGCAGATAACAAACTCGAATCGAGTTTTACTAAAAAAGTGGTTTTAGTTCGGTAACCCGATTACGTCCTTTGACTTCCGCCCCTGTAGCGTCACAATGGGCAAGTAATTTACGTGCTAAGTGAAATTGCATTACGCTCGAATGGAATAAATAATAAGCAAACAGAGTCCGTGTTTGCTGTTCTTCGCATTGAAGAAACGTTGTTGTCCATCCGAATTGCCCTTTTCACAATTTCTGCAAACTGTTCTTGCATTTGGATTAAGGTCCAAAACCTATGATTATCAATGTGAAAAGGATTTATGATAATATTAATAATACTAATAACAATAACATTATTCATGTTGATTTCTTAATTTGACTATGTATATATCTAGAAAGATTAAAAAATATTTTTAGAATTTATTTTGAAAAAATTCAGAATTCGTCGTAAGTGTAAATGTTTATGCAATTAACAACTTCGAAAACTGAAGAATGTAAGGAAGGGCAACAACCAAAAGTTTTACAGAAATATAACGTCATAACGTCATATTTGATCCGTCAAAGACCAAAATTTCATTTGAGATGGTTATGCGGTAAAGAATACATTAGAGAGACCGGATAAAAATATCCACTAGGCTCAAACAACATCAAAGAGTTTTAAGACTAAGACAAATAAACTCATAAGCAGTTGCCAAAGACAATCCCGAAATAATAAATAATAAAACTAATTTGAACTGAGGTGGCTTTTACTTGATGAAAACCATTTATCAAAATAAATAAGAACTAAAATTTTCACGAAATTATATATTTTGACATGACAATTGTTTCGACAACACCGTGTCTTTATCAAATGGAATATTTACAAACTACCTGCTACTATATATACCGAAAAATGACCATAAAACCTTAATTATTGTTCCGAGAATTTAAGTTCAATAAGGGAGAGAGAGGTATTTAAATCTAATTGATCGTTAAGCAATACATTTGAATGTCATTTTGTTAATCTCCATGGCTTCCAATAAATTTTATTTTCTACTTTTTCTGGCTGTATGTAAAATATAAAAATCGTCGTCAAAAATGTGATCTTCTGTGTTTAAGTGCGTAGCATAATTAAAATCTAGACTATTGTTTTTAAACGCCCTTTTATGTTCGTTAATGCGTTTTTTAAAGCATCTACCTGTTTGTGCAATATAAATTTTAGGACAAGATCCGCATTTCAACCTGTAGACACCTGGTTTTTGAGATTTTGGACATTTCGTTTTATTGTTTTTTTATTTTTTTGCCTATTTTTGACAAATGTTTTGAAACTTTTTCACTAGGTTCTCCTATGTATGTAATTGTTTTAAATTGTTTGTATTCTGTATTAGGTTTCTGATAAATAGAGTTTACTGTTGTCTGGATTTGTTTTTTATTTATAATTTTATCTATAATGGACGGATTGTAGCCGTTATTCAATGCAATTTGTTTAATGATATTAAGTTCTTTGTTGTAATTTTCTGTTGAGAGTGGCGTATTAAGAAGTCTGTGTATAAAAGAGTGAAATGCAGCCATTTTGTGTGCATAAGGGTGATTTGAGCTCTTATGTATGACTGTGTCCGTGTCTGAGGGTTTATGATAAATGGCAAAATCTAATTTGTTTTGCATTTTCGTAATAGTTAAGTCTGAAAAATTAATAGAGTTCTCCTGGTCAATCTCGATAGTGAATTTTATACGATTATGTAATGAGTTAATCTAATTCAAAAGAAGAATTCAATTGTCTGTCCGTTCCAACAGAGCAAGCAAAGACATCATCCACATATCTATACCACCATAGAAAACTTTACTTAACGGATGTTCTAATATGATGTTTTTCAAATTATCCATAAAAATCTCGGCTAATAAATGACTAAGTGGGTTTCCCATAATCAAACCTTCCTTAGAGACGTAAATCTGTCCATTAAATACAAAATAATTTAGGTCTAAATATACTATTAAGCAATCTAATAAATTTTGTTTTATCAATGAGTTAACCTGTTTCCGAGTGAGGGTGAAATCTACTAAATCTATCACATCCATAGGTGGAATACTGGGAAATAAGTTTTGTACATGTACAATCTTGGTGACTGATTTAGATGGATTTTTGAAGCCTTTTTTCGTCCATAATTTTCTCCTTTATAACCTGGATAACATGTTTGACTGTTCTGTACAATGTTAAGATCAATGCGTACAGAAGGGATATGTAGATTGTCGCTGTCACTGCTCTTTAATAATAATAATAATAATTTT